AGCATCATTAATTCACTTCCATTTTTTTTTATTAAACTTATGGTGAGATGCTGATATCTGTTTTTCTGTTGTCAGCCAGGTGTATCTTACGTTAAAGTCAACGTTATATGTCTATGAAGAAAAACTGTAAAATTCACCAGCTGAGTGTATCTTAGCCATCGAGGTGGTCATATTATCTCGTTAGACGAGAAAGATGGCTCTGACTAGCTGTTAAACGTAATTATACGACAGTGAACGGCCTACGTATGCGAAAAAAGAGCTGTTACCGAGATCTAAGGCGCTGAGTGTTGGTTCAATAGTGCAGTTGAGGAAAATAAACCTGATGGACAGGCAAAAAACAACGGAACAAAAAATATGCAAGGTCTTCAGCCAAAATCACTTCCAGAGTGCAAAAGCCCAACAACAGACTGCATTAACCGACCTGATTTCTGCCTTCAGAATGAATCCAAGGAAAGATGGGCTCCAATGTGACTCGTCTGCGAAACAATCGATGGATATCAAGAATTACGTACTGGGTTCCGATGGACCAAAAACTTATATTTGGTTGTCAAAGAAGAAGCTGAGACGAGTCGATTGTCAAATTACTTAGTCAGAAATGGAAGCAGAAAGCGGAAATTAGAGAATGAGATAAATTATACTACTGCCGGAAAGTCGGTTTGCGTTCACGGAGCATCCATAACGAGGAAAAGCCGGATGGCGGATAACGTATTACAACAGACCTATAGTGAGTAAAGCGTGTAGCCTGCTGTTTTCTTCTTCACAAAATGACACTCGTCTATCTACTTCGAAGGAAAGAAATCCCATTAAGGTATGATTTCAGGCTCTACTGACCAAGCGACCTGACTTTTCTTATAAAAGTCTGACTTCTGAAAAGTGCCCACAACATTATGAAGGATAGCATAAAACAAACCATAGCCTCAGTGATGAACGGGCATGTGAAACTGCTCATTATTGGACTCTTCTGTCTGTCCTCCTTTTAATTTCTTTCTCGCTTCTCCATTGGTAGTACTTTTCTCCTTCATACTACCTTTTCCGCTTATATTTCCACGTGCTTTTTTCTGCTGTAGCGCATAGTGTAACGCTGCTGTATGTTCCGTCATCTTACTATCAACAAGGGGCAGCAGCAATATCCACCGTAGAATAGTCGGCGCTCGCACAGTCTGTTACTTCTTCCCCATTACCCACGTAATGATACTCATTTACTTGCCACAGAAGGACTGCCCAACTGGAAATCGAACAATTATACCTAAACCTCGGCTTTGACGTTCTATCCACTGAGCGACTACAATTCGTTGATCCATTTTGATGTACACATATTTAAATCTGAGAAGGAAAAAGTATGGTGGCCGTCCCCGGGGTCTTCAATTGGTTACTTACGTTTACATATGTCATGTATTATAACACTCATGTACATTATTTACTATTTACATTGACCCATTTGTCAATGATTCTCGTGATGCACTCAAAATTATGATCCTGGATAATAATGCCCGTAATAATTACCCATATTTCTTGCCCGTACAGCACCGGAGCATACCGGAGTAATGCTCCATAGTGTTTGGTGGAAAGAAGCCACAACGGAGAAGTTTTCTTGGTGCGCCATGTGCTGAAACGACCGACAAATATTTTACTCTGATTTTCTAGACGTTGCGTTGCACGACATACGAGGTATCGTTCCGTTGCGACGCTGACAATAATTATGTCATCACCGACCCTCACTTTTTCACCCTCTGACCGCTGCTTTGACGTAGGGTGAATTGTCCACCAACAGGCTTCTCCTAGACATGAGACAATAGATAAACGGACTCACTAAAATAGTGAAACGTCCTAACTTACCGCTGTTCGTTTCACGAAGGCCGACATCAAAGGCGAGTTTGTCTGATGCAGAGCTAGACGAAAGGCACGTCAGGTACTGGAGGATAAACAGAAAACTGCCTTGAGTCATTCGAAACTCTTTTGCACATTTAAGCACTTACCATATTACTGAGTACATGCTTCAGCTGAACAGCGTGACCATACAGTAACGTTCGGTGGCTGCTAACAGTACTCTAAACGAGAGATAACGAGAGGACTTTGGCTTTATCGCATTAATTTTCGAAGGCGTAGAAGAATATGGTTTAAGTTCATCTTAGAATGCAAATATATGACTGTTAGCTTGTTCTTGACGTTTTACAAATGAGGTTATGTAGATCCACAAGAGATAAAACTGTTTCCCA